GTATGAGCAAAAAAATTTCCAACGTTGATACGTATGCGCGGTCTATATAGTCTATTGGCAAATATTTGGAAATCATGCTCGTAAATTTTCTCAACGCGTGTAGAAGCTGTGCTAGTAAGATATTCCACGTACAAAAGATTCACAGCTGACTAATTTTTCATGCAGGAGTCAGAAGAAGAAGAGAGAAAAAGCTTAGAGCTTAAAGATTAAGGCTACACTTACATATGCGAACGGATCGATTCTCTCATCGGCAGCTGGCATCGACTCGAAAGATCTTGGACTTGAATTGTACCGGGGCTAGCAAGATACTGCAAATCTTAATGCTAATATCGATTCGGGAAAGGAACCGAAGTACTTTTCTCTATTTTTTTTTAAATTGTAGAGAAATCTCGATGGACCGGCGCATCGACAACGGAAAGATTTTTATCGGCTCTTTTTACGGAAGTTTAGAGTCCGAAAGCTTGTGGTCGTGATTAGAATAGTCACGCGCACGTGAGTAATTGGATCTGAAGATCGAGGATCGACAAATGAGATTGCCATGAATATTTAGAGATTAGCTGCATAAATCTATAATCCGCTTAAATATTACATTCCGCAAGCTCACGGGTAATCCACTATCAACGTATATGGGAGATTCAAAATTTCCAGCGATACTAACCAGATATCTTTCTTTCTTACGAAAAAGTAGATCTGTCCATAAAATCCGAATATCAGAAAAACGTTTTCAAAATTCACCAGTCTTCGGCTACCTTCCTCCTCGTTTTTGTGCCATCCTTTAGCGCATCCTTGCAACTACAAAAATAAGAAAGGGCAAAAAATAGTCGCGTGAGACAGATTAACGAAACTAATTTCAAAGTTTTATTATTACAAGACATAAGCTGCTGTGCACGTTCATTTTAATGGAAGACAAGAGTCAGAAAAAAACATTATACTGCGACGAGATAAAGCGTAGTACTAAAGTAAGCAGACTCCGATAAGAAGTGTGCTTTATGCACGTGTATAATATGTCTTCCGCAAGATATTGGCCTAATAAAAATAAGAACGATTCCATGCACGTGGTCGCAAGTCGCGTCGGCAATGCAGATGCTCAGTGAGCGCTATGCGAATGCAGCATCGACATGCGACGCGTCGCGCGGAAAAATTCGGCGCCGTCGACTTGCCGCAAGTCGATGAGCTGGAAAACATCGTCGCCGCCGAGATATCCGCTAAGCCCGCTGCCGCATGGAAGCATTGCTTGAACGCTCAAGCGCAGTCTTTGTTTAATCGATACGGCACACTTACAACTGCTTCATTCCTTGTCTGTAATACTTACTCTTCCTGTTGTTCTGTCGCGATGCCGTGGCTTCTTGCAGGCTTTTAAGCGCCGCCAGTGTGGCTGGCCTTGTAAAACTTTTCTTTTTTGGATTACAACTTTTAATCTGTTTGTACAACGCAATGCTCGGAAATACTAATCTACTTTGACATTACAAGATACTTCTTGAAAGTCATCGATTCGATTAGTGAAAGCTCGCTGTGATTCTCTAGTTTCATCAATTTTATTCTAGCACTTGGACCATCAACGATTTGCATGTGTTTTTAAAAACAGTTATAATATTCCAAGTCCAAAACTGAAAATATGGCACATTCCAAACGAATGATCAATGAAAAGACAATTAATTGCACTAATTATACAAAAGATAAAAATTTCCATCTAGCAGGTATAGTGTGAAATGTAAAAATGTCCACTGAAATGTTGAGTATAAAGTAAAGCTATGCATGTGAGCGTGAGAAAATAAATTGATACGACCAACTATACGCAAGTTTATTAATCACCATTCATGATCATGAAGTCTCATTAGAAAACCTCACTTGTATACGTATTAAACGGTGACATTAAACAAGTAAAGCCCCTAACAACGTCTCATTAATTTTAGCTCGTTAGTCTGGAAAACAAGACGAAAAATTGCTCGATTTAAAGGTCTCGTTAGCGCACGTCACATGCGTTGATCGCTCGTGACTACTGTTTTTTGTAACAGCGGTTTTATTGAAAAGCATCGGTTCCTTTCCGTAGCAGCAGAATTTCAGCAAGTCGTATTATACGTGACTTCTGAGAGAAAATAGGAAAAGACGATACGAATACGCCAAGCTTGCATTCATTAAAATATCGTTAAATTCAATTAGCCACGCGAGACGTCAACGCTGCGGATGTGCCAAAAGCACTGCTCGCGAGGTACCATCGATTAGTCTTCACTTGTCGCGAACAGTTTTTTCTTTTTCGACCGCGGTAACTGTATAAAAGATCGATGCGGGAATAATTTAGCTGTAGGAAGTTATTTCCAACTTGTCTATTGCACAGGGCGTCTTTTGATTATTAACTGAAAATTTAATTAATGTTGAATTTCTGACAAAAGAAAGTTATCAGTAACATTAATGATTTTGTTATTATGCTGAAATTTTGAATAGGTATGCATAGTTTGACAGATTTGAAACAATTAAAAATACATTTCTGAGCATTATTACAGTTTTATGTGAAAAATGTGTGAAATTACAAGATAAAAAAATCTCATTTTGCTCTGCCATTCGTGGTGAAATTCCTTGCTGGATGTGGTCGTAGAGCAATAAAAAAAATCTAGATAAAATGCACAACCATTTCAAACTTATCTTTGCCATAGCAGAATTTAGATAATTGTCAAAAATATAGATTTGTTCATTTATTCAGACTGTTGGTTACCACGTGTCAAGCTTTCGAACAACTTTAATTAGAATAAGAAATACAATGACATTATAAGGAGGCAATGAAACTTCAGCATGTCAGCATAAGTAGGTAAATTGGCATAACTTTCTCAAGACTGAGTGTTTTATTATTCAAGCTCAATGTGTCGTCTACTTTTAGTTGGTAATATAGGTTGTCAAGCTCATAAAAAAAACTGAATGATGTAGTCAGAGACATAAGGTTAGAACAGTGTATTGAAATGGCAATGCGCGTTATATCTATTTGAGGTTGTCTGCGAAAGTGTGACATTGTTACTAGATTTCTCTCTCAATAATTGGAGAGTACATAATACTTTTTTTATTTTATAAGTAAGTCAATAATTATTTTACGTAATGATCGCTATATATAACTATTTCCGTTTATTTACAATAAATGCTGTGTACACTTGACAGCTTGGCACTCGGACTATACATCAAGTGTCATGCGTATATTTTTATTATTGTCATATTTCCATAAAAGTATGTGATACAAGATAATATACAATAAGCAAACTGTTAATGATTAAAAATATTCAGTAATGCAATGTTGCTAAATTGAATAATATACTGTTTATAAAATGTATTCGTCTATTTGACTGTGTTGATCGTGAGAAAGGCAATAAATTTCCGTCAACGTTGTTTGAACAGCTGTTATATCATCAGAATGTAGAATTCAAAGTCACGAATCAAATTAAAGCCGCTTCATTGTTTTTCACTGATTCATGTGATCATACCCTTAACCCCTTGAATACCTCTGTCTGAGACATATGCACTCACAAATAAATACGCGTTATGTACGATTGCAGATATGTATGTAGCGGAGACTTTTTGAAATTGCGGCCTTCAGAATAAGTGCTCTTGTGTACTCACATAATAATGACGTACCTGAAAACAAAAAAAACAACTGGTTTAAAGTGAGCAAATCGAATCGTCTATTTTAAGAGATAAACTAATTGACTATATATCCTTCGTACATAATATCTATTTTGCTCAGTAAGAAAACAAGGGGGAGACTATCAATTTGTGCTACTAGGATACAATCTGTAATTAGAAAGGCAGGTGCGATGTGAAGATTACATGGATTTTCCGCTGTACCTGATGCTGGACAATATCCTACCCCTTTTTATTCCCGACCGCGACATGTCTAGTGTTGGCAATGAGGTTTTCCCGTATAAGTCTAAATTTACAAAAGGTAGATTAGCGCTTAGGTGTATTAATAAATGTAGTGTAGTAACATCAATAAGTGTTTGTCACTATCTTACTTTCTTCTTGTTTTCTTAAGCATTTGAAACGCAGATAACCAGAATACCATTTTTGACTATGTTCATAATGTGAATAGATTTTGCTTAACGAATGATTTTATTATTTACCTATTTTTGTAATATCCATTCCTTCAAATATATGAAAAAAAAGGTCAGAAAATTTATTATCTAAGCTAATATTTTTTTAGAGTTTATTAATTACAACTTCAAGTTATAATAAAGGTTAGGTATCAGGAAATTTATATTATTTTTTGTTCGTCATACAAATATTAATTTACTGTAGTTATCTATTGTGGAATATTGACTATTTTAATATATTCATGTTTTATTTATACATATTTTATTTACAAGGGAGCAAAAATTATATTTGAAAAATAGGAAGCAAATCATTTGTATTGCTCGATGAGGTACCACATAATTTTTTATAAAAAATGACCGATATGTTACACTGCGTAATAAAGATTTTAAATGTGTATTAAAAAGAATTAAAAAGATTAAAAATGTGTATTAAAGAGTCTTTACCTTCTATTAAGAAGGGTAAAAAATAGGATTAATGGGTTAACTTATATCATGTTAAGATTGAGTGATATTAAAACTAAACATAATTAAACATCAAGATAGCTGTTTGGCAATTAAATTTGTCCAAAATTGACGGTACGTATATAGTAATATAAACATTCGATAAACCCTGCATTATAAAAACATATCTTTTTTATAATGAAGATTCTAGTATTCATAGAAATATGTTTATATCAAATGACTTTCGTCGTTACCACATAAAACCTGATGATTTATTTTTTTTTGTATGGCAATATGTTGAAATATAATAATTTGATCAGTTTTTCAACTTAGTTGTATTAGCATGAAACAATGTTAACATTATCTCATTATCACAAGTGGAACTCAGAAATTTTCCCTGTTTGCTAACATCACCTGTGACGACAAAACAGATTAAACTGCACTCCGATACGTATTGTGTGTCGCTGTAATTTTTTTTATTTGTAGGCACAAGAAATGCCGCTAATTTGAGTATATAAAGAGAGAAAGAAAAGAAGACTGTACATACAGATCAGAGATTTGTAATAAGCAACATGTCAAGTAAACTGGTAAGTTATAGGACTGCAGCGTATTACTTATAATTTTCTATTGCTATCGAATTTTTACCTTGATTATTATATTAAAATTCATTTGCATGTACTAGAAAAAATGCAAAGCCAATTTAAGAAATTCGAAACATTTTAAAAAAATTAACTATTTTCTTGAAAACTTGTACCTTAAACCTTATAATTTGAGATATAAAAGATTATAATGATCAAGTTTACAAGTATCTATTTCGTAATGTAATAGTTTAATATGTCATTTGATAGACTATTATTTATAATATAAATATAATAATGATAGTTAATATTAATAAGATGATTTGTTTCCTCCAATAACAGGCTATTTTGGTCTTGTTCGGCGTAATTGCTTCGGCAATTGCTAGACCGAATCTAGGCCTTGATGGCAAAGGGAAAGGAGGTCTTAACTTAGGTGGTAGTGGCAAAGGACAAGCCAACCATGATATCAGTGGAGAACTAAACGTAGAAGGTAACAAAAAAGCTGGTAGTAATGTAGATGTTAAAGGAAAAGGTGGGCACAAAGTTGAATCCAACGTAGATGTTGATGGTAAAGGCCAAGTTAACAAAGGAATCAACGGAGGATTAAACATAGGAATAGAAGGTGGTCATAAAGTTGATACCAATGTAGATGTTAAAGGAAAAGGTGGGCACAAAGTTGAATCCAACGTAGATGTTGATGGTAAAGGCCAAGTTAACAAAGGAATCAACGGAGGATTAAACGTAGGTGTACAAGGTGGCCATAAAGTTGATACCAACGTAGACGTTGATGGAAAAGGTGGTCACAAAGTTGACTCTAATGTAGATGTTAAAGGAAAAAGTAACCAAAAAGCTGGATCTAATATAGATGTTAAAGGAAAAGGTGATCAGAAAGCTGGATCCAAAGTTGGTGGCAAAGGAAAATCGAACCATCGTATCAGTGGAGGCTTAAACATGGATGTCGGTGTAGTAGGTGGCCACAAAGTTGACTCCAATGTAGATGTTAAAGGAAAAGGTAACCAAAAAGCTGGATCTAATATAGATGTTAATGGAAAAGGTGATCAGAAGAAAGCTGGATCCAAAGTTGGTGGCAAAAGAAAATCGAACCATCGTATCAGTGGAGGCTTAAACGTAGGCGTAGGTGTAGAAGGTGGCCATAAAGTTGATTCCAATATAAACGTTAATGGAAAAGGCAACCACGAAGTTGATGCCAATGTAGGCGTTGGCGGTCAAGGACAAACTAGCCAAGGTACCGGTGGAAGATTAAAGGCAGGTGTAGGTGTAGAAGGTGGCCACAAAGTTGATACTAATATAGACGTTAATGGTAATGGTAATCACAACGTTGATGCCAACGTGGGTGTTGGTGGTCAAGGACAAAGTAGCGATGGTACCAGCGGAGGTTTAAACGCAGGCGTAGGTGTAAAAGGTGGCCACAAAGTTGGCACCAATGTTGGTGTTAAAGGAAAAGGTGACCACAAAGTTCAAGCCAATGTAGACGTTGGTGGTCAAGGGCAATCTAGCCGTGGTAACAGGGGAGGTTCCAACATGGATGTTAATGGAAAAGGTAATCTTGGAGGTCATTTGAGTATAGGTGGAAAAGGTGGCAAAGGAACTGCTTTAAATATAAACGGAAATGGAAAAGGTGGCGCTGGAGGTGGTTTGGATCTAGGTTTGGGTGGAATAGGTGGTAAAGGGTCTCTCAACGTAGGTTTGGGTCAATAAACTTGCCAAAATTAAGTGTAATAAATATTTTTATATGATGTACGTGTGATGATAAGACTCGTCACAATCTTTTGCCATTAAATAAAAGTTTAAAATATTTAATTATGTTGATCTAAATTATTTTATATATATTTTTTACAAGCCCCCCCCCCCCAATAAAACTTTATCTTTGATGAAACATAAGAGTGTACTTTAATAAAAGTAAGCTGATTCAATTTGAATGAAATATTAACTGAAAAAAAAAACGAAACAAACACACACACACACACACACATACATGCTACTTTTTATTTCCTATACATGGGCCAGAACTGTAAATCATAGGTATTTTTATTCCACAATTTCTAATATTATCTTATACTTATAACATTTCATAATTACATTAAATATTTATTCTAAAAAAACGGCATCGCTGAAAAAAAGAAAAATAACAAACAACAATTCATATTTTGTTTAAACTGGTCGATTTTCTTGTCATGTATATAGGTATTCTATTATTTGTCATTACAGAGTGTCGCTATCACTCGAAGAGAAAAAATGAGATATCTAACGAAAATAACTCTAAAAAAACAGAGCAAATTGATTCTTATTTCATTGCTTAAGCTGATACAAACAATTTACCTAAAATCCAGACAAAGCACGAGAATGATTCGTAGCGTTTATTCCTATTGCATTCCAAATGAATTGCTTTCGCATTTTTCAATGGCACCCCCTGTTAAAAGTAGAAATTAGGTAAATATAAAAAAAAATGTATCGTGTGTCAAGTGGAAATATGAGAGAACAAGATTCAGGCTAAGCAATGCCTTGAGCAAAATTAGGTAGAGAGGTTTAAAAGACTTTTGCACATAAAAAGAAAGAGAACGCATGCGGCTGACGAATCCCCGCTTTGCACTACTGCAGCACGCGTGCGACGCAGTTGGATGTTTGACTATACACTATCTTTTTGACTTGTAACTTTGGAGCATAACCACGCTGAAAATGCTTCTAGTTTTGTTTCTCTTTTGCTTAGCTTGTTGTTCTTTTTTAGCTAATTCACTGATATAGAATACAGCTTAATGAGCCTAGCTGTTTGGCTTGTTTGTTGGTTAACGAAAAAGTCATAAACTTATGTTTAAAACTGCGATGAGATAATGCACGTGATCACATAGTTAATACCATTGTAGATGTCAATAGAACAGGAGACAAGCTAGGAATGACACTATGGGAAATTTAATGCTTCTGCGATATATGTATAAGAAGAATTTTGAAAATATTTGAAAGTATACAAAAGGTGTAGTTAAAAATTAAAGTATTCAAGCTTATTTATTAAATCTTTTCGCATAATGTCTCTTATGCATATTTCCAACCTCATATCTAAGAAATTTCTTCGCTTAATGATTAAATAGTATGTAAGTATTTGCTTTCTTTTTATGCTGTAATATAGATGGTTTTTATATATCGTGAAAGAATAATTTTAAGTTCCGCTTAGTTAATAAGTCTTCTATTGAAGCTTTGTATAATATTTATATGGAGTTATTACCACCTGTCATTCATTCTCACAGTTTTTATACAAAGCAATTTTTTTCTGCTGCTATTTTTTATTTAATTAAAACTATTGTTTGTTTAATTAAAAACTCCTATATTCAAGATATCGCTTGCTTAAAAATGTACAAGTTTCTGCGATTTTTACTTTAACATACTATGAAAACGTAATTTAAATTATGCATCTTACACATCAATATGCATCAAAATATTTCGTGATGGTAAATTGCGTTAATGCAAGTTTCAAATTACGTTCACAAAGGGCCACTCGTTGGTTCACGATATCGCTCACATTTAACATGGTGTTGTATTTGGGTTACGCGGAGCAGGGATTTAGTCAACTATTGGTTTTGATAAATTCAAAACAATTCATTAACAAAGAAATCATTTAGTACGAGGTTTTACAATACAATAACGTGGAACACTTTGCTACTCTCGTGATACTTAAGGTTAAGCAACGTACGAGACGCGTCACTCGTCAAAACACAAACAAAAATGTGATTTGATCTTGTTAAACTCTAACACAAACTTATTACAGATTGCTGTCTGTGCTCGATACCCCTCTTCCCTGCTCCGTACTAGTCGCGTCATCTTTCAAAATCGTCGTGCCCTCTTGAAAGCTCAACGTAAAGCCCAACGGAACGATCGTGCGCCAGTTTTTGCTCTTGCGTTTGCTGAATGGCCACGACTCCGTTACAGTCCGCGCACTAATACCGAGCCAAAAGTAACTCAGCACCCTGGAGCTCTGCTTCAGGTGACATGCCAGCCTTAAGAAGTCTCATACTGATCTTGCTGCCATGCCGTGCAGCAAACGAGTGTCCTGTGCCTACCGCTCGACTTCAGTCAAAGCCTTACTTGCGACTTCGCACTTTTACAAGCTATTCGCATCCATCCTTTTTCGGTTTCATTACGTAGTTTCTAACAAAAAATTACGTAGTTATTAAGTAGTTCGCTTAACTTTAACAGAATGCGTCAACAATACTTTCGCAGCTATAAAACGTCACTCTTGATTACATTTCGATGTGCACAAAGGTTTTCCTAATTAACTTAAGAATTAGCGCATGTACTATGCACCGTGCTTACAACTCAAGACTTATTACATACACCACGTAACGTTTATTACTTAACTAGTACACGCAACGCTTACAGCTTAACTAGTGCACGCAGTTACCTAACACATTTGCTGAAAAACTACGCAAACGAGGAGATACACTAATTTGACTTCGCGACAAACACAGCGAGCCTTGTAAACGTTAATCTCTTCATTTATTTATTTATTGGTTTTTGGTCCCCGGTTTTCCCGCTCGTAAAGATCTCCAGGCACCCACCCGGCACATCAACGCTTACGACCCTCATTGTATGGTGGCCGGTTTTCTCCAGTATATGATATAATGCTTACAAGATGTATCAGGCTTCAGAAAAATGGAATGAAAAACGGCTAGAGTTCTTCTAAATCTTTGTTTATGAGAATTAATATAAATAAACTCACACACGTAATAATATAATGAATAGATATATAACACGAATTATTATCGATAAAATTATTAAAGGAAACAAATACTTCTTTTTGTCATTTTAATCATTGTAGATTGATTAGTAAAGTCTTCTTAATAGGCTTATCAGCATTCATTGTTATGTAAAACTAGAAGTGTTTATCTGTACAGCAGCTATATTTTACTACATGAAAAAAATTCGCAGCAAGCGTATAATCACTAACTTAAGCAGCCGTTGCGCGCGCACGCGCAATGTCCCTGGGCGCTATTATTTAGTGCAGTTGTGTCATGGTTAATCTCGGATAATTTATGTAACTGCAGTAGCGAGCCAGCAAATAAAGATACATGTTTAGCAAATGCCGACGTTGCGCTGCTTGCCGCATCAATCCAGTGATTGATTTTTCGAAGGATTGGTTGTTGAATTTAGCGGATCTTTTTTATCTAGTGATAGCATACTGTCGAGCTGATGATTAGTTGATGGACATATCATTTTTCTTATAAATATAGCACAAAATTTCTGACTCATTATTGCCCACGAGATTGATGTAATGTGGCATCATCTTGAGCTTGATATATAATACATTTTCTACAGAAAAATATTTTGCAGTGAATACAGCCATGCATCTCACGCTTTTTAGATTATCTCGCAGAATAAAAAGAGCTCGAAGAAAAGAATCGTGATGCCTAAAGTAGAGGCAAAAGAAAATGACTTCAAGGATATATATAGTATAGGGCAAATAATCTAAAAAGGACGTCGGTCTGGTAGAAAAGGAAAATGTTTTATACAGAAAATTTAAAGGTAAACGATAAGAGAAATTGGATGCCAAGCAATTGAATTCCAAAGAAAATATTTTATTAAAATACTCTTATGTCGGAAATCAATACTTCTTTTCTGCTATGACAAAATTGCCCCGCTTTTGTCGATGACTTTGTACGAAAATTTTTCGAAAATCTAGATAGCTACGTATAGACGCACGTCAAGCAGAAATAGTTACGGTTCTGATTAAAATTCTATCGTCCACGTGCATTCGCAACAAACTTCAAAAACATCTTTGTGATATTTTGCAAATTTTATGCGCGTTGAATATTCTTATCTTAAGATAGACTTTCTTTGTGAAATATGAATGACCCAATTAAATTACAATTTAGAAACGTTGACATGTTTTCAGTTGAACTTTAATCGGGACGAGTTGACCTTTTTCTGAAACATTAAATCTACTAATTATATAAATGAAGCATCGATAGGATATACATAAACTTTACACGTAATCTTATACACAGCAACCTAAATAAATGGTTCATCTTTCGGTTTTTGACTCTGATATCCGGTATAAACAAATCTTTGGACATCAAAAATATAGTGCAATGGATCATACAATGCATTGTTAAATACACGCGGTGAGCAACATCGCAGGAAAATCAAGAAAGGGGAGCTTGAGAAATTCAAAGAATCGGTGGCGCGGCGCAAAACTGCAGTGGCGGCAGGTGAGAGTCATTGGCAGTCTGCCACGATTCGCGCAGCCGCTGACCTACTTTCGACCGGCGACGGCGTGGATTGACCCGAGCGTGAGAGAGAAAGAGAGAGAGCTGCAACTTGCAGCAAGCTTTGCGTTACATATACAGCAATTACATAGCCATGGGCTTTTACTTTGCTGATTCGTGTGCCTCTTTTCATCTTCGACGCTTATTACAACAAACCAATCGTAACCATTGTCGAAGTAATGCGCATCTTCCAAATAAAGAATCGGACAACATGGAAGCAGGATTCCTGGTAAAAAATCTATTGAGCAATGAGAAATAGCAGAGAGTCGTATGACCAAAGCGTGAGCTTTACAACTGCCTAGCGCAAGTGGCTGGCTCCAACTTTTACGGCCCACCCACATAAGCTAACAGCGTTGTTTATTGCACAGACATATAAGCCAGGCCAATCAATATTTTACAATCGATTATCCTTTTTCGGCGAGGCTTTACATGCGGGTTTAGATTGAGGTCAGTGGCCCGTATGCTCGATGAGTTTATCATCGTCAATATTTCACACGACTTGTGTGTACGTATGTATCAATTAATAAACCAAGCGAGC